GATTTTGTGAATGCAGGGTGTCCTCTGTGCTTTCAGTTCCTGTAATTTGTTTGCGTGATGTTCGGCACTAAGTAACACCTTTTAATTGCTCATGTGTTTAAGTGTTCTATTACCATGTCTGCTATTTCGTTTTCCTCTTGCTCTTACTTTTATTGTTTTACTCTTGCTCTTACTTTTTTATTGTTTTACTCTTGATCTTACTTTATTGTTTTACTCTTGCTCTTACTTTTTATTGTTTTACTCTTGCTCTTACTTTTTTGTTGTTTTACTCTTGCTCTTACTTTTTTATTGTTTTGCTCTTGCTCTTACTTTTATTGTTTTACTCTTGCTCTTACTTTTTTTATTGTTTTGCTCTTGCTCTTACTTTTTTATTGTTTTGCTCTTGCTCTTACTTTTATTGTTTTACTCTTGCTCTTACTTTTTTATTGTTTTACTCTTGATCTTACTTTTATTGTTTTACTCTTGCTCTTACTTTTTTGTTGTTTTACTCTTGCTCTTACTTTTTTATTGTTTTGCTCTTGCTCTTACTTTTATTGTTTTACTCTTGCTCTTACTTTTTTATTGTTTTACTCTTGCTCTTACTTTTTTATTGTTTTGCTCTTGCTCATACTTTTATTGTTTTACTCTTGCTCTTACTTTTTTGTTGTTTTACTCTTGCTCTTACTTTTTTGTTGTTTTACTCTTGCTCTTACTTTTTTATTGTTTTGCTCTTGCTCTTACTTTTATTGTTTTACTCTTGCTCTTACTTTTTTATTGTTTTACTCTTGCTCTTACTTTTTTATTGTTTTGCTCTTGCTCTTACTTTTATTGTTTTACTCTTGCTCTTACTTTTTTTTATTGTTTTAATCTTGCTCTTACGTTTTTATTGTTTTACTCTTGTTTTTACTTTTTTATTGTTTTACTCTTGCTCTTACTTTTTTATTGTTTTACTCTTGCTCTTACTTTTTTTTATTGTTTTACTCTTGTTTTTACTTTTTTTTTGTTACTCTTATTGTTTTACTCTTGTTTTTACTTTTTTTTGTTTTACTCTTGCTCTTACTTTTTTATTGTTTTACTCTTGCTCTTACGTTTTATTGTTTTACTCTTGCTCTTACTTTTTTATTGTTTTACTCTTGCTCTTACTTTTTTTATTGTTTTACTCTTGCTCTTACTTTTTTATTGTTTTACTCTTGCTCTTACTTTTTTTTATTGTTTTACTCTTGCTCTTACTTTTTTGTTGTTTTACTCTTGCTCTTACTTTTTTATTGTTTTACTCTTGCTCTTACTTTTTTGATTGTTTTACTCTTGCTCTTACTTTTTTATTGTTTTACTCTTGCTCTTACTTTTTTATTGTTTTGCTCTTGCTCTTACTTTTATTGTTTTACTCTTGCTCTTACTTTTTATTGTTTTACTCTTGCTCTTACTTTTTTATTGTTTTACTCTTGCTCTTACTTTTATTGTTTTACTCTTGCTCTACTTTTTGTGTTTTACTCTTGCTCTTACTTTTTTATTGTTTTACTCTTGCTCTTACGTTTTTATTGTTTTACTCTTGTTTTTACTTTTTTATTGTTTTACTCTTGCTCTTACTTTTTATTGTTTTACTCTTGCTCTTACTTTTTATTGTTTTACTCTTGCTCTTACTTTTTTTTTTATTGTTTTAATCTTGCTCTTACTTTTTTATTGTTTTACTCTTGCTCTTCTTACTTTTTTATGTTTTACTCTTGCTCTTACTTTTTTGTTGTTTTACTCTTGCTCTTACTTTTTTATTGTTTTAACTCTTGCTCCTTACTTTTTTATTGTTTTACTCTTGCTCTTACTTTTTTATTGTTTTACTCTGCTCTTTACTACTTTTTTGTGTTTTACTCTTGCTCTTCTTTTTTATTGTTTTTACTCTTGCTCTTACTTTTTTGTTGTTTTACTCTTGCTTTTACTTTTTTATTGTTTTAACCTCTTGCTCTTACTTTTTTGTTGTTTTGCTCTTGCTCTTACTTTTTTATTGTTTTACTCTTCCTCTTACTTTTTTATTGTTTTACTCTTGCTCTTACTTTTTTATTGTTTTGCTCTTGCTCATACTTTTATTGTTTTACTCGTGCTCTTACTTTTTTGTTGTTTTACTCTTGCTCTTACTTTTTTTAATTGTTTTAACTCTTGCTCTTACGTTTTTATTGTTTTACTCTTGTTTTTACTTTTTTATTGTTTTACTCTTGCTCTTACTTTTTTATTGTTTTACTCTTGCTCTTACGTTTTATTGTTTTACTCTTGCTCTTACTTTTTTATTGTTTTACTCTTGCTCTTACTTTTTTTATTGTTTTACTCTTGCTCTTACTTTTTTATTGTTTTACTCTTGCTCTTACTTTTTTTATTGTTTTACTCTTGCTCTTACTTTTTTGTTGTTTTACTCTTGCTCTTACTTTTTTATTGTTTTACTCTTGCTCTTACTTTTTTGTTGTTTTACTCTTGCTTTTACTTTTTTATTGTTTTACTCTTGCTCTTACTTTTTTGTTGTTTTACTCTTGCTCTTACTTTTTTGTTGTTTTACTCTTGCTCTTACGTTTTTATTGTTTTACTCTTGCTCTTACTTTTTTATTGTTTTACTCTTGCTCTTACTTTTTTATTGTTTTACTCTTGCTCTTACTTTTTTTATTGTTTTACTCTTGCTCTTACTTTTTATTGTTTTACTCTTGCTCTTACTTTTTTGTTGTTTTACTCTTGCTCTTACTTTTTTATTGTTTTACTCTTGCTCTTACTTTTTTATTGTTTTACTCTTGCTCTTACTTTTTTATTGTTTTACTCTTGCTTTTACTTTTTTATTGTTTTACTCTTGCTCTTACGTTTTTATTGTTTTGCTCTTGCTCTTACTTTTTTATTGTTTTACTCTTGCTCTTACTTTTTTATTGTTTTACTCTTGCTCTTACTTTTTTTATTGTTTTACTCTTGCTCTTACTTTTTTGTTGTTTTACTCTTGCTCTTACTTTTTTATTGTTTTACTCTTGCTCTTACTTTTTTATTGTTTTACTCTTGCTCTTACTTTTTTATTGTTTTACTCTTGCTTTTACTTTTTTATTGTTTTACTCTTGCTCTTACGTTTTTATTGTTTTACTCTTGCTCTTACTTTTTTAATGTTTTACTCTTGCTCTTACTTTTTGCCTTTCGCATTTATTTTTTCCCTTTTAGTGGAACGACGCGCACTGGCACAGAATCGTTATCCCGGTCTTTATATTGAATTGATCATTGTATTTCTCATAGACCAGAGGGCGGGGCGCCCCGGGCGGGATGATGAGTTGGCTCCGGCAGGGCGCTGATATCCTGGTGGTATGTATACGTGCGCTTTTTCTCGGTCCAGTCTTATCTGTACTGTCGGAGCTCAAGCTAGGTTTTTCTCCTTTCCAGGTCTCCGCTGGCTGCTGCGACCCGGATCGGGGTGTAGTGAAATCCACGGAGAGCTTTCATTTTTCTTTCGATGTATTTTTAATACTTCCCTTTTTAACTTTTATTTAAGACTTATTTTAAATTTATTTCTAAACTTCTTGTACCTTGACAAGGTCTTGAAGATTTAAATAAAACAAACGTAATCTCCAATTAACACAGGGTAGCGAGCGTTATGTAAGGCACTGATTTATTTCACTCTCCTGAGGCATAAAACCAAGTATGCATATTACGTATAATGCTAAGCAAAACACTTCTGAACTGGCAAGAATATCTTTTTATTACTCCATAATGTACACATATAATCCTGCCCAAAATATACCGAGAGCCAAAACTTATCTTTGGTTTCCACGAACACAATACGACAGCCCTCAAGGCTGGTCCCGGCCTCTCTGTCTAGAGAGATCGCTATGCTCCTTGGGTCACTTGGCGGGACCCAAGACATGCAAAATTGTTGTTGTTTACTAACTTAAGGTCTCGTTCGGTAGTTTGGCGTAAACACAAGCGGGCTAATCCCTCTGTTTAGATGTCATTTACGCAAGCATGAGATGTTACTTATATTTATTTAATCCATTGCCGCCGGGGATGGCATGTACGTACATGCCATGCCCACTGTAAGTCGACTTGTCCGATTGTTTTTACACATAGATGGCTACACTTGTACTAAGTATCCAATGAGCCAATTACAGTACTGCCTGTCTCGCCCGTTCACCCTTTTCATCGATTTACGAAAATATTTAACATTATCCTAATTTGCTGTTAAAAATAACACCATCTATATTTATAGCACTAGTAAAAATACGTTTTTCCCGCCAATTCAAGAAAAAGTGAAATCAGGACTAGCAGAGCCATCTATGGACAGAGATATTTCATAAAAATATAAAAAATGAGTACTGCATTTCCCCCATTTTTTGTTCATTTTCCCTGGCGGCAATGGGTTAAATTAAAACAGTAGCTTTTGTTTAGAGTATTTTTTCTTTAATTGAAAAGTCATCGGCATGTCCGTCAAATCTGCTATAACCCTCCATTGCCGAGTGCGATTTTCCACCGTCCGTCCTTTCTCCGTGATACGACGCGAAGGTCCAAAAGGCGGAGGCCCGGTCCATCCGAGATAGCAGATGTGCAGACGGGGTCCTCTCCACCTCTGTATGGGCTCCAAACATCATGGGGGAAAATCAGCATGCCCATGCCACGTGTTGAGTGTCCTCGCTCCTCGACGAGTCTTCACTGGCAGTAAACAGCTTCGTTTCAATTCTACAGCAAAATACGCAATTCAGATGAAAACAGAACCAAGTTTCTCATATTGTACTTCTCATAAGCAAATTCCACCTGCACCTGCAGAAGCATCTACGGGTGGACTGCCCAAAAGCCGTTAACAAGACAAAATAATCTGAAAGGAAACTAGAATTAGTATTGGCGTCATAGTATTAATCAAGCAGGACCTATAATGTAAATATGAAGTAACTAATATTCTTGTCAGTTCTGAAGTGACGACCGGAAAGAAACCACCACTTATAAAACCCAAAATAATAAAAATAGGTAACCTTAAAATGCAAAATAGAGGTCATTGAATAAAAGTAACCCATGAATCCAAGTTAAACTTGAACAAATGACAACAAAGCAGCCGTTCCAGGGTCACCTGGCTCATCCCAATCACCGCATTCATAGTCTTCCTCACCATCCTCACCATCAGCATCAGCAAACTCTAGTTCTTCTCTGGCAAGATAAGGCTTCATCTGGTTGACATGAAAAGTCTTCTTGCGATAAGGGAAGGAGGTTTCTTGGCACTCGTAGACGACAGGACCCATCTTCATAGTGATTTGTGCTGGCCCAATCCATCTTGATCCTATACTCCTCAGTTCATCCTGCCCTGGGCGTGTCTTTAACGAGGACCAAAGTTCCAATATCAGGTCGAAATTCTTTCTTCACTATACGATCATAGTATTTAGCTCAAGAATCCCGCGCTCGACGTGAGGTTTCCACGGCTATCATCCTCGCGACCCGGAGTCTACCTCGGAAGGCTTCAGCAGCATCAGGTGCTGCATTCACATGTGCGTTTGTAAGTCCGACGGGAAAATTACCGTGCTGACCAGTCAAGAGATACAGGGGCTGCTCCCCTATACTTCGGTGCACAGCCGTGTTAAGTGCAAGAGTTGCCAGGGCATCCTTCACAACTCTATTACTTCGTTCAACCATGCCGTTTGCCTGAGGGTGATAAGCCGTCGTGAAGGAGGTTTTCGTCTTCAGAAGTTGGCAAGCCTGCGAGAATAAAAGATTTGTAAATTCTGATCCGTTATCGGTCTGAAGAATTCGGGGTGGTCCAAAAAGAGTTACATAATGTTGAATAAAGGCGGTTGTTACCGTTTCTGCGTCTTTAGAAAGTAAAGGTATAAGTTGCAAATATCGTGTAAGATGATCATTTATACTCAGCACATACCTGTTTCCACTATTAGAGCCTTGCAAATCTAACAGATCAGCAGAAACCCTTTCAAATGGTTGAGATACCTCTGGCATCCTTGCCATGGGGGCTTGTCAGCAGGCACCCTTACGCCTCTGGCAGGTATCACAACTTTTGACATATTCTTTTGTTTCCTGAAGCATGTTAGGGAAATAGAACAAATCCCGTAGCTGGCAATACATCCTATATATGCCAGGGTGAGCGGCGATAACGGAAGCATGAGCCACCCTTAATGCTGCTCTTCGTAACTCTTGTGGGATAACAAGCTGATGGATAATCTTGTCAGGTAAATGTCTGACATGGAACACCACGTCATCCTTCAATTTAAATTCATCCAGTGGAAGGGGTAGTTTCCTCCTTGGCACGGCCTTCTCCTGTAAATACTCCTTCACTTGACGCCACGGGGGATCTCGATGCTGGGCTTGCTTTACATACTGTGCCTCCAATGATGCTTCTTCACCGACAGCTGCAACATGTCTGCTGAGGAGATCAGGGACATGATGAGATGCCCCTGGTTTATATTTAAGTGTATATTGATAGAAGGATAATTCGTGAGCAAAGCGAGACATACGGAGAGACTTAGTTTTTCTATGAAACACAAATGTCAGTGGACGATGATCTGTAAAGATTATAAACTTACAGCCATAGAGGTATGGATTGAAAACTCGTACCGCTTCGACGACAGCGAGCGCCTCGACATCTATAGCAGGATACCTAGTTTCAGCATTACGCAACTTCCTGGAAAAATAGATCACCGCACATGGCAATCCTTTATCGTCCCGTTGCATCAGGCAAGCGCCGATGGCGATCTTCGATGCGTCAGTATGCACCTCGAAGGTCTTGTGGAAGTCAGGCTTTCGTAGTACAGGTGCAGATGAAAGGCGATCTTTCAGCTCTTGGAAGTCCATTTAAACTGCCGTCCTTTCCTTGTTAATTCGGGCATAGTTGGAAATGTGCTTCCTAAAGAAGCCAGTACAACCAAGGAAGCTATGCACCTGTTTTACATTCGTGGAAGCCACCATCTTCACTATTACTTCCACCTTATCAGGATCTGGTTGTATTCCTTCGGGAGCATTGTACAGCGAACTCGCACTTATCCACATTAAGATGGAACCCAGCTTTATCCAAGAGTCCCAACGTTTCTTCGAGATGTTCCAGGTGTTCCATGAAGGTCCGGCTGTGTACCACCACGTCATCCAGGTAAGCGATGGTATGTTTACCCAGGACAGATGATAAAACGCAGTTCATGGTGCGCTGAAACGTACTGGGGGCAGTAGCCAAGCCAAACGGAAGACGGCGGAACTGAAACAGCCTGTAGCCGTCTGAGAAAGCCGTTTTCTGGCTGTCGTTTGGGTGCACAGAGATAGTCCAATACGTGGATCGTGCATCCAGTGCAGTAAACCATGAAGTTTCACTCAGCTCGTCAAACATTTCTTCCACTCTAGGCATTGGGTAGGAGTCTGCCACAGTGATCTCGTTTAAGCGTCGATAATCTACGCAGAAGCAGATGCCTCACCCCTTCTTTTTCACCAGTACCACAGGAGACAACTACGGCGATGTCGAAGGCTCTATGACCTCATCTTTCAACGTACGGTCTCGAACGATCCTTTTTGAAGTTTCAGGCATCCTCCATTGTCGGGTGCAGGAAGGCTCATCCGAGGTGGTTCGAATCCGATGCTCAATGCCTGGTACCATCCCTAATTTTCCCGTTTCCTTAAATAAACCCAGATACTTCCTTAGTATAATTAACATTCTCTCCCGGTGTGCCAGGCGGGCCTCTATCCCCGGCGGAGATTCACCATCCACAATGTCCACGACCGGTGTGAAGTCCACATCAGGGAAAATCATAAAGTCATCATCTTGATAACCGAAATCCTTCAGCCCATAGAAGTCGTCGAATTCATCGATAAACTCATCCAAGCATCCGGAACCTTCTGAAGACTCCACATTCTCCTTCACCTGGGGATCCGGATTCACTTCCGCTTCCGACGAATCTCTCGAGATTACCTCATTGTTCTCTTCGACCTCTGCAAGGAGTGTACCATTCTTTATTTTAACAGGTTTATTTTCGGTGCTTACCACCCAGATGTTAACAAAATTATTTTCCACATCAGAAATCGTGTTGGGAACCACTACAGCAGAATCTGCGCTCGACAGACACGCTACCTTACCAGAAAATGAAGATGTATTCTTTGCCTTGAACCTCCCCGACTGAGCAGGACAAACTGTCGTTCTGTAAACATGGGCTTTAAGCTTTGTATTATTTACACAAGCTGAGGGCTCACTAATCTCCCTTATTCTTAAGGATTCTTCATCCGTAAAGTTTACTGGTAATCTAACACCTTGAAGTGAAAGATAGGACTTACGAGGAGAATGATAGCATACTAATTTGAAATTAAACCTTCTAAACAGATCCATACCAATCAACACCGAACCGGGAAAAGTCAAATTTGATACACAACACACCCGGTGTACACATGATACATGCTCAGAACACTTTAAAACGGACATTATTTTCGCTATTTATATTCAAAAAGGTGCCAGAAACACCCGTTAGTCTTCTACGACCATTGCATTTCAAAGGGATATTTAAAACATCTTTCATCTCACTCTTGATTATAGTAGCCTCAGAACCTGTGTCCACGAATGCTACCGTATCAACTCCATTAACATGTAATTTAACCAGTGGACGGCCTGATTTAATGACTTCATTAATAATATCAACCTTGTTTTCATTCAGTGTTCCAGTATGCAAGATCTCTTTACCACAATTATCTACGAGCTTATCACCTTCGCCAGGTACATTCAGCAACTTATGTTCGGTGTTAGAGGGGACAGAAAACTTGTAATTAGAGTTAGTATCTAGTGCCAGATTTAAATGATGCACAGTTTGTTTACTCTTGATAGGACCCGTTGCTTTCTGTGCCGGGGGTGGAAGAGGCATTGGATCTTTCCCCATTTTCACGAAAGGGACAATAACGAGCTATGTGACCTGGTTTCTGACAAGTAAAACATAATCTAGGGCTTCTTCTATTTTTACAATGTTTAGAATTATGAGTGTTTGTCTGGTGAAATTCGCAATATCGCTCTGCTCGTCCCCCTACAGCAGAGGTCTGGTAGGGTTGGAAGCGTCCTGCAGGTGCAGAAAGCTTTGGGCATTCCCTCTGATTTATCCCCACCCGTGTATTCCAGACTCTTTGTGCACTGTCCACCAGTCGAGGAAGAGGAACATCCTCTTTTAGAGCTAGCATTTCCCTTAGCCACTGTGGTAACCCTTGCAGAAAAAGCCTCTTTATTAAAAGTTCAGGCTCCCCTATTGCTTCAGGGCAATCCCTATATCCCTGATAAACAACCCCTTCTAGCTTTACATAGAAATCCAAGGGGGCTTGTCCTGCACCAAGACGGATTTCATACAGTAATGTAAAGAATTCTGTAGCTGAACACGTACCTCTAAATTTATTTCGTAGTTTAATCTTAAATTCAGCCCATGATGTTATATTATCAAATAAAGGGGAATTAATTAAAAGATCAGCTGCATCGCCGCACATGGAACGAACTGAACGAATGTAAGCATCATCCGTTAAATTTTCTATGAACCTGATCCATGTCTCTAGCTCATGGTTCCTCTTTAAAGGTTCTGCTGCGGAGATTTCTGCCTTGAAAGTGGGAATTACGGCCTTATTGTTAATATATTCGACATGTTGAGTCGAGCTATTTTCACGAGAACCGTTTGATGCGGACAAACGTGCTTCTAAAAGTTTATTTTTCTCTTTTAACTCTCTCACCTGAACCATCACTTCTCTAAGCTTAGAAGCTAATTCATCGTACATTGTTAATTCGACCATTGGTTCTAATTGTTGTGCTACCTTCTCCTCCGGATCTCGAGATCCACCTGGGCTCATATTCTTTCTACCCATGTTGGCGAAAGCGTAATCTATTTTCCCCCTAGAAATGTAATCACTAATGCCAACACTTTATGATCCAATATCTAAAAACTATTACCAGAAATTATTTAACTAAAATCCCGTGTTTGTTAATTTCAGAGCCGTCAACAAAGGTTACGTAATCGTTTGTTACTTAAAACCCGAGACATACATAAAACGAGGGTCCGATTTAACTAAAATAATCGCCAGATAGGCATTGTTTATTCTAAAACCACAATAAAAATACACATCACCTTTGACCAGCCTTCATATTGTATTAAAATCACTATAGCACTATGCCCCTTAAAACACAATCCATCCAATATTAAAATATTCACACAAAACGGACTACTAAAATGATTATTTTATATAAAATCCACCGCCATTAAACGTAGTGAAATCCACGGAGAGCTTTCATTATTCTTTCGATGTATTTTTAATTCTTCCCTTTTTAACTTTTATTTAAGACTTATTTTTAATTTATTTCTAAACTTCTTGTACCTTGACAAGGTCTTAAAGATTTAAATAAAACAAACGTAATTAACTCAGTTTGATCTCCAATTAACACAGGGTAGCGAGCGTTATGTAAGGCACTGATTTATTTCACTCTCCTGAGGCATAAAACCAAGTATGTATATTACGTATAATGCTAAGCAAAACACTTCTGAACTGGCAAGAATATCTTTTTATTACTCCATAATGTACACATATAATCCTGCCCAAAATATACCGAGAGCCAAAACTTATCTTTGGTTTCCACGAACACAACACGACAGGCCTCAAGGCTGGTCCTGGCCTCTCTGTCTAGAGAGATCGCTATGCTCCTTGGGTCACCGGCTTGGCGGGACCCAAGACATGCAAAATTGTTGTTGTTTACTAACTTAAGGTCTCGTTCGGTAGTTTGGCGTAAACACAAGCGGGCTAATTCCTCTGTTTAGATGCCGTTTACGCAAGCATGAGATGTTACTTATATTTATTTAAATGAAAACAGTAGCTTTTGTTTAGAGTATTTTTCTTTAATTGAAAAGTCATCGGCTCGTCCGTCAGATCTGCTACAGGGGGGACGGATTCTGTAGGGTGACACACGGTACTCACCCCCCACCCCCCACCTCCTCTTAGATGATGCTCGCTCCGCGTGTTGT